CCCGTCCGCGGGGCCGGCTGCCCGCATGCTTGAGAGCGATCAGAAGCAGCCACGATCCATCCACTGTTGGATTAAGGTCCTGTCTCGCCCCCCAAGCCATCGCCACCTCTCGCGCGATCTCGCGAGTCCATTTTAAACGCTCCGCGGAGGATACCCGGACGCCCAGCGAAGGGAGGAGCTCGCGAACGTCGCCGCCGGTGGCCGTGCCGGCGCCGCGTGCCACGAGGACAACACCCGCCCCCCCCTCCCGCGCACGTCGATCGCGATCTCTCCGCTGCTGGATGGAATGCCCCCCCTCCCCCCCCCCCCCCGCCACCACCTCCCTCTCCTCCGAGCCGTCGCGGCGTTCCGCCCGGAGCCTGCAACGCCCTCGCGCCAATTTCACCGCTCCGGCCGCCTCTCCCGGCGTCCCCTCTCGGCCGTCGGCCACCGTCGCCTCTGGCCGCGACTCACGCCAAACGACGTCGTTTTGTGACGCGCGGGTGGGGTGGAGGGGTGGGGTGGAGGGGGTGGAGGGGGGGGTGGAGGGGTGGGGTGGAGGGGTGGGGTGGAGGGGGTGGAGGGGTGGGGTGGAGGGGTGGGGTGGAGGGGGGGGTGGAGGGGGGGTGGAGGGGCGGGGGCCGTTCTCCCACCCGCTCCTCTATCTGCCTCCCTGTGTAACCGCCGGCGTCATGTCTCCCAGGTGCACCTCTCCTTCCCCCGCAGTTTTCGTTCCGCTTTTGCCCGTCGAGCGCCCGCGCGCGAATTTCCGACCCGGCCCCGCCACAGCAGGAATCGGGCGAACGCCGCCGCCCTCTCCCTCGCTCCCCCTGGGGTCACGCGGGGGTCACGGAGGGGGTCGCGGCGGTGGCGGCGCGCGGAGGGGTTAATCTGTGGGCGCGGCGCGTCTCGTTCAGACGGGCCTGACAACGCACCTCCGTGCGAGGCCACATTAGCGGGGCGGTGTAATTGAATGGGAAATGCTGTTTGCTTGTTAATGGTGCCACCCACAGCTCAGAATATTGCTTTTGCCAAAGGTGTTAATGACCTCTCCTTTCCGCTTTGGTGATTATCACCTTCTCATGTCTCCTCGAGGCACCGAAATTAAAAGGGCTGCGATGCCTCTCTCTCTCTCACTCTCTCCTCCCTCCCTCTCACTCCCTCCCTCTCACTCTCTCGCAACAAGAAAACTTTTTTAGATTATTCGTTTTTTTGCGGTGACGTGGCTCGAGGCTTTCAATAATTGATGAGGTTCATCAGATCGGCTCGCGCCGGTTCACAATCGTCAGCGATGTCGCAGCGATGGTGACGGCGACGGCCTCCCACCCCCCCACTACCCCCCACCACCACCACCACCCACACCCACCCCCCCCCCCAAAAAGAAAACCACTCAAATATTATTTTGCTCGCGCGACGAGCGATGATGAAGATGGCTCATCAAGCGCAGGGGGAGGATGGAGGGACTGGCTGATTGCGACAGCGACACGCGGATGGGGGGGTGGGGGGGTGTGGGGGGTGGGGGGTGGGGGGGAGGTGAGCGCGGTTGGGGAGGTGCAGACAATGTCATCTCATTATGTCGGCGGGCGTGCAATTTGTGCCGCAGAGCGTCGGGGGTTTTTTTCCTTTTTCCCTCCTCGCCGACGCCGCCACTGCCGTGACGAGCGGCGGCGGCGGCGGCGGCGGCGGGGCCCCGGCACGCCGCGGGTTGTCAATTAACGGTGACAATTATGGCGAGGGACCGGCACGCGGAGGCGCGCACGCCACCGGGAGGGCTCGGGCTCGGAGAGAGCGACACACGGCATGACGAGCCGGCGACAGTGGTGGTGGTGGTGGTGGCGGTGATGGTGGTGGTGGTGGTGGTGATGGTGGTGGTGGTGATGGCGGTGGTGGTGGCGATGGCAGTGGTGGTTGGCGATGGTGGTGATGGTGATGGTGGTGATGGCGATGGTGGTGGTGATGGCGATGGTGGTGGTGATGGCGGCGGTGATGGCGGTGGTGGTGGCGGTGGTGGTGATGGCGGTGGTGGTGGTGGTGATGGCGGTGGTGGTGATGGCGGCGGTGATGGTAGTGATGGCGGCGGTGATGGTGGTGGTGGCGATGTTGATGGTGGTGATGGCGGGGGAAAGGGGCAGGGCTCCCGTTTGCTTGGCTGGTTCAAGGGTCAGCTGATGAACCGGCTGCAGGCGCTGGTGCCGCCAGTGGTCCGTGCCATCGGGGAGGGTGGGGGGGAGGGGGGGAGCTTCGTGCCTCTACAGCACGGAGGCATTAGGCTGGCGGTCCCCCACCGTGTTGGTACGTCGGCCCCCCAATCACGGCCGTCTGTTCCCGTGCCCCCCACCCCCCCAACCCCCACCACCCCCCACCCGAGCTGCAAACACCCCAACTCACCACCAGGGCACCGCGCTACGGCGGGAGGTCGGGAATGGAACCCGGCGACCCGGGTTCCATTGCCGCTCACGGCCACCAACACCAGTGACGCTTACACGGTGTGACACAATTTCTGCTCCTGGGTAGTAAGTGTTATTTCGTAATTGCTTCTGCCTAAAATGTATAGAAAATGGCTATTATTCCCCACAAACTTTGCTTTTGTGACCAGGACAGTGATATTTTGAAATGTACCTATTTTAAATGAGAAAACGGGCGAATGTGTGTCTTTTCGTTCACATAAAGTCAGAAAAAAACAACATATGAATCAAAATGTACATGTATTTATACTGAATTACTTAAAAAATTTACTACAAAAGATTTAGAAGTGAGTAGTTTTTCGAGATAATTATCTGAACTGGTCATGGCCCTCCACTAGGTAGACTCAGCCTCAACTGAGTACCTGGTACGGTGTGTAAACATCACCACTGGGGAGACAAAGGCGGCCGGGCGTGGTGCTTGCCACCCACCCCCTCGTGTACCGTTCCGGCCTTCATAGGTGCTCGCTAACAGCACTTGCACCTACAGTCTGTTAAGGCTAAACGGGGGATCTTTGTATATTTGTGTGTGTTAGTAAAGGCATTTGGTTTCGCATTGTCAACAGGGAGATTTATCTTTACTTCACACATCCCGTCGGCCACGTGGCCTCCCTGGAAGCGTGTAACGCTGCATAACGAGCAAAACACTCCAGCGTGACGAGCGAGCAACTTTGGCGAGCGAGCGACTTTGGCGAGCGAGCGACAAATCCAACGGGGAGCCTCCACGGGGAACCCGGCCTCGCCACGCCACCGGCCGCGAGCTTACGGCGAACTTGGCGCGATCGGCGAGAGCGAGGAGGGCGCTCCACCAAAACCCCGAATATTCTCGCGGGGGGGGGGGGGGGCGGAGAGGGACGGTCTAGCACGCGACCGCGACGGCACCGGCGACGGCTGGGGCCAACTGCACTTGTATCCGTCCAATTTCCCGCACCTCAGATCGGCCACGGTTGCGAAAGTTCAACATGCATACAGGACAAAGACTCGCACAGAGACCCATAGACTCACCACACAGAGACCCAAAGACTCACCACACAGAGACCCAAAGACTCACCACACAGAGACCCATAGACTCACCACACAGAGACCCAAAGACTCACCACACAGAGACCCAGAGACTCATCACACAGAGACCCATAGACTCACCACACAGAGACCCACAGACTCACCACACAGAGACCAACAAACTCACTCACACAGAGACCCACAGACTCACCACACAGAGACCCACAGGCTCACCACACAGAGAACCATAGACACACCACACAGAGACCCACAGACTCACCACACAGAGACCCACAGACTCACCACACAGAGACCCAAAGACTCACCACACAGAGACCCATAGACACACCACACAGAGACCCACAGACTCACCACACAGAGACCCACAGACTCACCACACAGAGAACCATAGACTCACTCACACAGAGACCCAAAGACTCACCACACAGAGACCCACAGACTCACCACACAGAGACCCAAAGACTCACCACACAGAGACCTATAGACTCACTACACAGAGACCCATAGACTCACTCACACAGAGACCCAAAGACTCACCACACAGAGACACACAGACTCACCACACAGAGACCCATAGACTCACCACACAGAGACCTATAGACTCACCACACAGAGACCTATAGACTCACCACACAGAGACCCAAAGACTCATCACACAGAGACCCATAGACACACCACACAGAGACCCAAAGACTCACCACACAGAGACCCACAGACTCACCACACAGAGACCCACAGACTCACCACACAGAGACCCACAGACTCACCACACAGGTGGGAGAGGTGGGCGAGTAGGTGAGTGAAGCAGGTGAGCAGGTGAAAACATCTGGACCGTCGAGCCTGTATGTACGTATGTACCGTACGTAGCTAACCGTGCTAATCGGAGGTGGGGGTGAAGCACACGAAACTAAGCACGAGAAGCAGTTCGCGAGAAACGAGTTCCCACTCGAGATGATGGAGAAGTTCACGGCGCCAGCGGCAGCCTAACATCAGAAGGCTGCAGAAGCGCAACGCTCGCATCCAGCTGCCGGACTCATTTTCACACTCCGGACCCGAGATGCCGTCGCGTGCCGGGCACGGGAGCACGGCAGGCTGCGAGACAGCAAGGGGAAGGCGATTCAGGGAGTGGAGCACAAGCGGGACGGAGGGAGGGGAGGGAGGAAGTCGAACTCGGGGTCGCCGGATTCGTAGCGCGGCGCTGCTAACCGCTGCACCACCGCTCTCCACACACACACGCACACACGCGCACACACGCACACGCGCGCGCTCCTCTCACCTTGGCTACGAGTTCTTCCCGTTATCAGCAGACGTCGCCCGCTGGCCACCGCCGCCGCCGCCGCCGCCGCCGCCACCGCCGCTCCTGCCGTGGTGAGCACGGGTCCTCGTCAGCTTGACGGCGCGGCCGCCGCCGCCGCCCCCGTCTCCGTCACCCGACCCCCGCCTGCACCCGTCGCCGCCCCTCCCCGGCAACGCCGGCGCCGCCTCCGCCGCCTCCGCCGCCTCCGCCGCCTCCGCCGCCTCCGCCGCCCCTTCGTTCCCGCCACCCGGCGCCGCTTCGGCGCCGCCGCCGCCGCCGTCGCCGTCGTCGTCCGGCGCGGCCGGCGCGGGCGGCGCCCTCCCTCGCGCCGCCCACTCCCGCAGCCGCTCCTCCGACACGCCGGGCAGGTCGCCCACCTGGAAGCCCAGGTGGGACTCCAGGTGGCCGACGTAGGCGGCGGGCGTGCGGAACTGCAGCGCGCAGCCGGCGCAGTAGAACACCGGGTGGTCCGTGTCCATGTGCTTGAGGAACTTGGTGCCGCCGCTCTTCTTGATCTGATACTTGACGTTGGCCAGCCAGTGGCTGATGGTGGTGACGCCGACGCCCGTCAGCCGGGCGACGCTGGCGCGCGCCTTGCTGCTCAGGTCCGGCACGACGTACTTCCCGTCCCCGCTCCGCCGCAGGCCGGCCACCAGCTGCGCCTGCAGCAGCAGCAGGTGCTGCGGGTTCCAGCTCGACTGGCGCCCCTTGCGCTTGCGCCCGTTGGCCGGGTCGTCCGCCTCCTCCGCCGCGCTGCTGCCGCCGCTGCCGCCGCCGCTGCCGCCGCCGCTGCCGCCGCGGCCGCCGCGGCCGTCCGCGTCCGACCTCTCCGAGCCGGTGCTGGACGGGGCGCGGGGCGGCTTCGGCGGCGGCTGGCGCCCGGGCGCCGGCGCGACGCGGCCGTCCGCCTGGCCGTTGGCGTCGCCCTTCGCCGACTTGGTGAGGTCGATGGGCTGGTCCGACGACCCGCCTCCGACGCCGGCGCCGGCGCCGTCCTCCTGCCGCCGGCGGTGCCGGTAGAACGACGCCTCGAGCGGCTCGGAGCTCCGCGCCTGCGCGGGCGGCGTGGCGGCCACCAGCTTGTCCAGCAGCCCGCTGCTCATCTTGTACAGCATGGAGATGGGGTCGGTGACCGGCGCTGTCGGCTTGGCCACTTTGCCCAGGTGGGCATTCATTACCGACTGCAGCGCGCTCAGCGGGTTCACCGACGCCTTCTCGGGCGGTTGGTAGCAGCTCACCGCCGGAAAACACTTGCCCTTTTCTCCGGCGGCGGCACCGCCGGCGCCGCCGGCACCGCCGGCACCACCGGCACCACTGGCACCGCCGGCACCACTGGCACCGCCGGCACCACTCGCACCACCGGCGCCCGCCTCCTTGTGAGCGTTCCTCGAGGCGTCCCTCCTCTTGGCCGACGCGCCGTCCCCGTGCCTGTGGCTGCCGCCCCTCGCCGAGCTCCGTGCCCTCTTCACGTCCGGGCCGCCCTCGCTTTTCACCGCGGCCGCACCGGCGGCGCCGGCGGGGGGCGCGGCGACGAGCGGCGACTTTACCCGCGCGCGCGTCCGGCTCTCCTCCGCCTTCTGGATGTTCCCCGACACCTTCTTCACCAGCTCCTCCATCGCGTGCACCTTGCTGCGTGGCGCCGGCCGCGCACTCGCTCCGCCGGCCCCCGGCTCCGGCGCAGCCACTACGGCTGTCGTCGTCGGCGCCGGCTGCTGCTGCTGTTGTGGCTGCTGCTGCTGCTGTGGCTGCTGCTGCTGCTGCTGCTGCTGCTGCTGTTGCAGCTGCTGCTGCTGTTGTTGTTGCGGCTGCTGCTGCTGCTGCACGGTTGCGCTGTGCTGCTGCTGCTGCTGCTCCACCTTCGGAGCGAGGAGCTCCTTGGCCGGCTCGTCGGGCCGGCCCGGCCGCACCAGCCCGGGGATTTGGTAGGCGGCATGGATGCTGGGGTAGCCGCCCCAGCTGGGAGCGCCGTTCTGCGCCTTGTCGATGGCCGACGACACCATGCTCTCGAGCGACTTGAGGATGTCGCGTCCGGCTGCGGCGCCGCTGCCGCCGCCCAGGTCCTCCTCGCGCAAGTACCGCGAGAACGGCTCCCCCTCCCCGCCCGTGCGTCCGCCGGCGGCGCTCCCCCGGCCGCTCCCCTCTCTCGCGCCCTTTCCGCCGCCGCCGCCGCCGTCTTCCCTGCCCGCCGCTCCGCGCGAGGCCTCGTCCGGCATCCGCCGCGCCGCCGCCGCCGCCGCGGCCGGGTCCTTGGCGGGCGATGCCGCCGGCGGCGTCGGGACCGGCGAGCTCGGGGGGCTCCCCCCGCCGGCCGCCGGCGCTTCGCGGGGGCCGCCCCCCACGGGCGACGCCCTGCGGGCGGCGGGGCAGCGCGGCGACGGGGACGCCGGGGGCCCGTTGGGCGCCCGCTGCGGGGACGGCAGCGGCCCGGGGAGGGACGCGGACGGGGAGGCCGGAAGCTTGGGGCGCGGCTCCGTCGTGGCGGGCGCCGGCGGTTTGTGGCCGGCGGCGCCGGCGGCGCCGGCGGCGGTTGGCACGGCGACGCTGCTAGGGAGCAGCTGCACCGCCTGCACCTTGGCGTCGTGCGCCGGCGGCGGCGCCGGCGGCTGCTGCTGCTGCTGCTGCTCGAAGGCCACGTGCTTGCCCTTCTTGAGCGCGGAGCTGGTGACCTTGAGGAAGTGTCCCGTCACCATCATGTGCGCCGTCAGCTGCTGCAGCGTGTCGTGCGAGCTGCCGCACTCCATGCACTTGAGGATCTGCGACTTCTTCGCCTCGAACTGCCACGCGTAACTCGCGCCGTTCTGGTAGCCGCACCGGCTGTTCGACGGCATTCCCTGCTGCCCCGGCTTGGCCTTTCCCGCCGGCGAAGCGCGGTCGGAGGACGGCGCCGACCCGGCGCCCTTGCGCTCCGATCCCGCGTCGCCGGGGAGGTGCCCTTCGGCCTGCGCCTTCTTCTTGACGGCCTGGCCAGGCCTGGCGGCGTGGCCGGCGCCGGCACCGGCGGCAGACGAGAACGGCTCCTTGAGCGGCAGCTTCTGGTAGTGCTTCGTGCGGATCATGTGCACGCTGAGGTCCTGCAGCGACTCGAATGAGTGACCGCAGCACATGCACTTGAGCACCTTCTGCGCCTCCTGCTCGCTCTCCATGTCCACCAGCGAGCGCTTGCGCGCCTTGGACCAGCGGCGGTCGCGGTCGACGTTCTCGTCGCGGTAGTGGCCCGTCTCGCTCATGTGCACCGTCAGCTGCACCAGCGTGTCGTACGCGCCGCTGCAGTCCTTGCACCGGAACTTGCTGGCGCCCGTCGCCGCCGTCGGGCTTGGCCGACCGCCCGGCGCGTGCGCCGCCGCACGCGCCGCGCCGGGCCCCCCGGTCCCCGCGGACGACGCCGACGACGACTCGGCGTGCTTGCCGGGAACCCCGGCGTGCTGCTGCATAGTCCGGGCCACCGCCGCACGGTGCCAGTTGAAGGCGCCGCCGCCGCCGCCGCCGGTGCCCCCCCCGCCCCCGCCGCCGTATCTGTCGGCGTTGACGCCGCTGATCGCGCCGCCACCGCTGCCGGATTTGCCGAGCGCCGGCGGGCCGTGGCTGTAGCCCACGGTGGACCAGTAGGGGTGGGAGAGCAGGCTGGCGTAGATGGCCTTCATGTGCGCGAAGCTCTCCCGCGCCAGGCCGCTGTCGGCGCCGTTCTCCTTGCGCTCGCCGGGAGGCGCCGGCCGCTTCTCCCCGAGCGACGGCGCCGTCCTGCCGGCGTCGCGCGCCCGGGGCTCGGCCTCCGTCCGCCCCTTTTTCTCGTCACCGCGGTCGGAATTCGCCGGGTCCTCGGCGCCGGAGGCCGCGGCGCCGCCGGCCTCGCCGGCACCCGTGTCGGTCGAGTCTTTGCCGAGGGGTTTTGCCGGCGCTGCCGCCGCCGCTACCGTGTCACCGGCTCGCTTCAGGCAACCGTTGCAGTCCTCGTCCGTCCGGGGAGGATCGGCTCCTCCTCCGCCACCTGCCGGCGCCGGCGGCGCCTCGGGCAGCTCCGAGGCAGCGTCATCTTTGGCGCCCGAGTCGCTGACCTCCGACCTCTCCTCATCCTCTCCGTCATTCCCAGATTGCAACAGCTCATCCTCCGACAGGAACGCTGGGATACAAGCAAATGCGGCGGGGGGTTGGGGGTGGGGGTCATTTGATTGATCGATAGATTGTGCGTGCCAAAATGTCACAGTGCTCATCGGAGGTACGGGGGAAAGACAACAGAACTAAACGCAGTTACGAAAAAAATTATAGGTGATTTACCCTTTCTGGCAATAAAACAGAGTTATGTTCAAGATGTCCAAACACCAAATATAAACTTTTTGCAAGGAATCAAATTACTGCATTGACCACACACACAGTACGTGTGGTGAGCATGCAAACCAACGTGCTCCGATAATATACTTGCATTGTCTTTGAAACTGATTGGTCTCCACCGGAGGCAGGCATCTTTCGGGCCTAGTCTCACCAGTATCAGAACCTAAACACACACGGTGGCTAGGAGATGTTCACTCCCTGGCCCGGCGTGTCTCTCTCCCCGTGGTCGCGTGGATTTTTCTCCGGCCCTCCGGTTTTTCCCCCTCCACGTCTAGCATCGACATCACGCGCCGATGATGAGAAGCCACTTTCGCTGAGCTATCGTTTGCGATGGCCACTTCGCTTCCGAAAAAGAACCGCACAGCTCAGTTGGGCCTTCCGTGACTGCTATAAATGTTGCCGGTTTAAGTTCTGGCCATTTACCCTGCAGGTCCTGTTTATCGCCTGCCCTCCCTTGCACAGGGGTGGCGCATTGCGACCTACGGATGAAATGCGCCGCTTGGCACGTGAAAATTATTGTTGTTGTCGTCGCCGCCGCCGTTGTTGTGCGGCGACACGGTAAGCACCGCCAACGCCGACACGTTGCCAGGGGGATCGCGGACGCATTGTTTACGGCCGACGGCGATCCGTCAACATTTACACGGGCGTAAGTGGAAAAAAAAATGAATTATCCCAATCCCGTAACGACAGCGCCGGAGAGAGAGAGCGACTGCTTTGAGAAATGATTTCCCATTGTACCACGGGCCGGCCAATTATGCAAATCAGACATTTAAATTCTATTTCAATTAAGTCATTTACCAAAGCGGCAGGAATGTCATTAGAACCTTGCTCGTTGTAAAGGAAGTGGGTGGGGCAGGCGGGCGGGTGGGGCAGGCGGGGGAGCAAAGCGGGTGGGGCAGGCGGGTGGGTGGGGCAGGCAGGTAGGGTAGGTGGGGGAGCAAGGTGGGGGAGCAAGGCGGGTGGGGTAGGCGGGCGGGTGGGCGGGCATGGCCGTTGTGTAGTTTATTGCCGGGCTTCGTTATGACCGGTGCCGTTATGTAACACGGTGCTGGGAGCATCGCAATGGCGCGTTAAATAATAATAAAATGACGGAACATCGCTCTCACTCGAGCTCCCCCTCCCCCCCCGGCACACCACGTCACCCGGGCCGGACCACTCCGAAGTTTTCGCTCCCGCGTGCCAGTGGAGCATCTTGGTGGGAGTGAAGTTCAGATGCCGCTCTCTCCAACGGACCCCGCCGGGTCGCCCGGACCCCCAACGCGTGAAATGTTTGCGGAGACGCGAGCCGTGCGCGGGGCACAGCCTGGCGCAGGCAGCTCCCCCCCCACTGCCCCATCCACCAACCCCCCCCCACTGCCCCATCCACCAACCCCACCCCCACCCCCCCATGCCGTGCACATTTATATCAAACAATTCGATTTTGCGGGTAAAGACCGACACGATTCATTCATCACTGATCAATCAGCAGGCCCCTCCCCCGCACCCCTCACCACCAGCACCTCTGGTGGTGGCGGCCACGCGCAGGACGCGGTGATGAGTGGCCTCCGGCCTCGCCCGCCGGAGAGGCCTCGGATGAACGCGGCGGCGGCGTTCAGCCGGGGCCTAACCCCCGCCCCCCAGCTACGACCACGCCAAGCCCTGCCCCTATCACTGCCCCTATCACTGCCCCCATCACCACACCATTCCTATCACCCACCCGCTGCTGCCGCTGCCATAGCGGCGCCCCCTTCTCGTTACGTGAAGACTAATATTACTGCCGCCTTTACGGAATGCGATTCGCATTCCCGCTCGATCATTTGGCGTAGTTTCTGGGTTTAAAAAAAAAAAATTCACCGGCGTCGCCCTCGGGAAAACCGCAGGGTCACGGGGGTCAAGCCCAGGGCACCGCGGTGGCTAGGAGATGTTGACTACCTCGCCTGGTTTTCAGGAGGACGTGGGTTCGATTCCGACCCTGACGCCTGCTGCTGTATATTTGGAGTTTACGTCTCTCTCTCTCCCTCTCTCTCTCCCCGTGGTCGCGTGGATTTTTTTTCTCCGGGCCCTCCGGGTTTTTCGCTCCACATTTAGCATCGACGTGACGCGTTCAGAGTATTTGGTTGCGGTGCATTTCCACGCAACGACAAGCCACTTTGCTGAGCTATCATCTGTGATAGCCAGGTCGCTTCTGGAAAAGAGCGACAGATAGCTCGGTGAGCCTTAGCTGGTAACATAAAAAAAACACGATTTCCTGGCTCATGGCCAGATTATGATAGTACAGCAAGCGGGTTTACATTCCCATCTGTACGAAGATTCAGTGCCCCCATCCCCGCCTGCCGCTACGCGGTTCACGCTCCCTACCGTCTCGCCGCGACGCGTCCTGCCCACGGCCCCGCTTTTGTGTTCCGTCATAGTTTGGGTAACGTCATCAACCTGTGCTTCCCCTCTAATCCACGTCTTTACCCCCCCCACTCTCTCTTTCTCTCTACCCCACACGATCTAATCCCGAGCGTGCGCCGACAGTCCACTACACCGGAGTTTAATGAATTTTCGAGTTTCGTTTGATTTGTTACGCGGGACGATTTGTTGGGGTCTCGTGCAGCTGGTCGCCCGGGATATCTTATGCGGGAGCAGCAGCAGCAGCAGCAAAGACCAAGGCGGTTAGTGAGTTTAAAACTCAGTAGGCTGTCACGACCACTATTATCCATGAAGGAGGCTTTTTTTGGGTTAGATGGCGTAAATATATAAATGTGACGTTAAGGCCGCCGCCACCACCCCACACAGCCGATTAGTAAGGTTCGTCACGTAAATAAAACGTGCCAATTCGTTACGAGTCCAGCCGCACCGGTTGGGCGTTGCAGAGTAAAGCCACGACAACGTTGACAATTCGAGTACCCTGGCGCCACGCGATCTAACCCAAAAACAGAAAAGCCTCTACCAAAGACAAAGACGTCGACATTGCAGAGAAGGAGCGCAGCGAAGCCCTTCAGGACGATGTTTCTGTTTTTTTTACTGGCCGTCAAAAGCGAACCACACGAGAATGAATCGTTCAAACAAATAAAAATACCCAGTGGGCAAATATGATGAGAGCGGGCGGTGCCACGAGAAAAAACGACGCTCGGCACAGGCGCAAGCGAGCTCCATATTTGAGTCTAACGGCGACACGCACCACGCACGAGTCGAATCAGACAGCGCGTTTGGGAGCAAGAGGCGCCAGTGAGGTGCAAGCGCAAGTCAGAATATAACAAGACGCACACACTTTTATTTTTTAACACGTAATGGTTATTACCATGTCATAGATCATTGCTCCGGGTAGCGAGAACACGCGGGGGGTGGGCGAGGGAGAGCTGGTGGTGGTGGTGGTGGTGGGGGGGTTTCCGTGGTAACAGACCAGAGTGGCGGAGACTCGGGAGACTCGGAACGATCATCGGTGACACCACATCGCCCGTTTACGGGAGACACGGAACCATCATCGGGGACACCGCATCGCCCGTTTACGGGAGACTCGGGGTCATCATTGGGGACACCGCTTCGCCCGTTTACGGGAGACTCGGGGTCATCATCGGGGACACCGCTTCGCCCGTTTACGGGAGACTCGGGGTCATCATCGGGGACACCGCATCGCCCGTTTACGGGAGACACGGAACCATCATCGGGGACACCACATCGCCCGTTTACGGGAGACTCGGAGTCATCATCGGTGACACCGCATCGCCCGTTTACGGGAGACTCGGGGTCATCATCGGGGACACCGCTTCGCCCGTTTACGGGAGACTCGGAGCGATGCCTCTCCTCTCTCAGAGGCGCGCGTCTGATTGGCACGGTTGGCTACGTGCGGTGCAAAATAAGTTCAACATGCATACAGTCACGACATCCGCCACTTTTATCGGCCATGAGCGAGAATCAAACTCGGATCGCCGCTCCTCGTGCACACAAGCACACACACCTACACGCACAAAGTCAAAGATCCCCCGTGTAGCCTTGACAGACCGTAGGGGCAAGTGCTGTTAGCGAGCACCTCTGAAGGCCGGCACGGCACATGAGGGGAGTGGGTGGCACCACGCCCGGCCGCCTTTGTCTCCCCAGTGGCGATGTTTACACACCGCACCAGGTACTCATTTGAGGCTGAGTCGACCTAGGGAAGGCCCGAGACCGGTTCAGATAATCGTCACTGGTGTTGGCCGTGAGCGGGAATTGAAGCCGGGTCGGTGGGTTCAGAGCGCAGCGCACTAACTGCAACACTATACACACTCACGCACACAAACAAACACAAACACACACCGACACACCCACACAGACAGACACATACAGACACCCACACAGACATACAGACACCCACACAGACAGACAGAGACAAAGACAAAACAAAGATCCCCCATATAGCCTTAACAAGCTGTAGGGGCAAGTGCTGTTAGCGAGCACCTATGAAGGCCGGAACGGTACACGAGGGGGTGGGTGGCCAGCACCACGCCCGACCGCCTTTGTCTCCCTAGTGGCAATGTTTACACACCGCACCAGGTACTCATTTGAGGCTGAATCGACCTAGGGGAGGCCCGGAACCGGTTCAGATAATCGTCACTGGTGTTGGCCGTGAGCGGGAATCGAACCCGGGTCGCCAGGTTCATAGCGCAGCGCACTAACCGCCACACCACCGCTCCCCAGACAGACAGAGACACACACACAGACACAGACACACACACAGACTGACACACACACACACACAGACACACACACACAGACACACACAGACAGACACCCACACAGACACACACACACAGACACCCACACAGACACACACACACAGACACCCACACA